AACCCCAAAGACTGTTTGGTCCCATCACTTCCTGGCAAATTAAGGGAGGTGAAATGTAAGCAATGTCAAATTTTGTATTCTTGGGCTCAAAGATCACTGCAGCCCCAAATGAAAAGATATTTGTATCTTGGAAGGAAAGCTATGGCAATTCTGGACAGCATACTAAAAAGCAGAGATATCACCTTGTTGATAAAAATCCATATAGTCAAAGCTAAGTTTCCAGTAACAATGAATGGCCATGAGAGTTGGGCTATAAGGAAAGGTGAGCACTTCAGAATCAATGCTTTTGAATGGTGCTGGTGAGGACTTTTGAGAGTCCCTTGGACAGCAAGGAAATCAAATCAGCCAATTCTTAAAGAAATTAATTCAGGCTTTTCCCTGGAAGGTCAGATACTGAAGCCAAAGTTTAAATACTTTGGTTACATAATGAAAAGACAAGATTCATTGGAAAAGACCCTGATGTTTGGAAACTTTGAAGGCAAAAAGAGAAGAAGACAGCAGAAGATAATATGGATAGATAGTGTCATGGAAATAACAAACATGAACTTGGAAGTTTTGAGAGACAGTGGAGGATAGAAAGGCCTGGCATGCTGTGGTCCATGGTATCATGAAGAGTTGGACATGATGGGGCAGCTAAGTGGTGCAGTGAATAGAGCTCTGGCCTTGGAGTCAGGAGGACCTGAGTTCAAATCCAGCCTCAGACACTTAACACTTATTAGCTGCGTGACCCAGGGCAAGTCACTTAACCCTGATTGCCTCACCAAAAAACAAAAACAAACAAACAAAAAAAGAGTTGGACATGACTGAATAAGCAAATGACAACATATATATACATATATATGTATATGTATTCGTGTATCTCATGCCCTGTAAACCATAAATCACAACATAATTACTAACTATGATTCCAATCTTTATTACACTATGTAATGGGTGCCTGGTCATTTAGAGCTTAATCCTGGGAGAATGCACAGGGAACTCATACTGAACTTTAGTAGCTTGCTTCTGGGCCTCCTTCTCCACTTTGGAGCATGCTCAGGTATTCTATTACTGTTTTTCAGTCCACTTACTGTGTATAGTTTGGTTGTCTGCTGAGTTGGAGATGAAAGCCTACCATGGCGTCAACTCAATCTCTTTCTTTCCTTTGCGGCAAATGAAGAGGAATAAATACTGTGGGCCCCCAGATGAGGGAATGGTCTTAGTGTTTCACTCAGATCCCACAGGAAGCCAGAAATGCAAAGTTATGCTGTTGCTTCTGTCTCTGTTGTGTCTACTATTTCCTGTTCCTACGTGAAGGAATATTAGCTGATAAGTGATTAGCTCACAAACTGAGGACTTGTGAGCTTTGAAAGGTCAGAAGTTCATACTAGAGCTGACTGGCGGCCAATTCTAATAAAGTACCAATGACCTGCTTGAAGATTGAGCCATTAGAGGGCCAGGGGTGGGAGTCTATAACAGAGTTTGCAGGCAGTTGACACTGATGACCTGCTGTAAATCAATGGTAGCCAGGAGGAAGTACTTGTCCATTGGCTATCCCACATTTGGAAGTGAATTTGGTGGAGTGAATGTGCTGTAGAAATCAATTCACATTTGAACCCAGTCTTCCCAGGAACTCAGGTGGTATAGGATAAAATATGTCTCTGGTTCAGGAAGTAGATTTATACTTTTCTTCTTCCTATATCTCTCAGTAACTATCCCTTTGTAAAAGTTAATTGATGTTAATTGATTAAATTGTACTTGGTGCTAATCAATAATCATTTGATATTGGAAGATAAGCAAAGATAGTGAAGTAAAAGAATGGAGTACAGCCCAATTTTTTTCCCACAACTATTCTAACAAAGATAAAAAAAGAGTGCCAGACTCAGTAGTGATCAAGAAATTTAAGGAAAAATCATAGTAATTCATATTTTCAGCCCAAGGCAACAAATTTAATCCACAGATAAGAGACCAGAATGGGAACCATCTCAGACCCAGATCTGGGGCACAGTACTTTGAAAAGTGCCTTGAGGACTCAGGTCCTAGGCTCAGAACAGGGCTATAGGATTTTCCCTCTTAACCAGAGAGGTGAGCACAGACTCAAAACAAAGGTAAATAAGTGGCACTGTTGCATTGAACTTATAGAAGCATCCATGTAATTGATAGAGACTAAGGCAAACAATTGTCCATTCAAGGCCGATCTAGGGGCAAGTCTATTAGATGTATTTTCTAGGCCCAAACCTAAGTCTGGAGCCTGGAAATGCCCAGAAGGCAATGATCAGATCGTGTCTTTGATAAGACCACCTAGTATCCACTGAAAATTTGCACATCCCTGGCCCTTCTAACACTTAAAAAGCAATTAATGCAGTGGAGAAAACATAGGAATAGGGAGTTGACCTTATAGCTTAGAGAAAATCATCCCAATCTCTCAGGGATACCGAGTTATCTAGGAAGCAATATGGCTAGATTTGATCTGGGGGGGTGCTACTCATCAATTGGAGTAAGGACCCCTAGTGTATATAAATACCTTAACTACATGTTGTCAGACAACAATCAATCAAAAATATTGATTAAAACCTACTATGTAGTGCCTGACATTGTGCAAGGTACCAGGGATACAAAGACAAAAATGCCTTTAAGGAACTTATATTACAGTGGCATTCTTAGAAAAGTCTTTCTCGCAGCTCAGGAATCATTGTTTCTAGATAACCTATCTTTACAAACATTCCTTGCCCGTGAATGTGTCTGTTGAGCTGCAGATCGTCATCAACTGTTAAGACTTTCAGCAGCTGAACACGTGTATATATAGACACATATGTATATTCACACATGCAGTATATATACATATATATACACATATATACACACTTTGCTTTTCTATTCTACTATGTTGAAAAGTCAGTTAAATAGGGAAGGCTAAATATACAACTATAGAAAGTAAGTTTGAAAATAACCAGTTCAAATTGTCTCCTTGGAAAGTTAATGTTGAATATGCCCTGAAATGTCCTGCATTTGAATCTATAGACAAGACTGATGTAAATATGACACCTACATTATTGTCATCAAGAAACATTTGTTGAATAGATAAATGGTCAAAAGATATGAACAGGTGAAGATATTAAAGCCATCTATAGTCATATAAAAATATTCTAAATCACTATTGATTAGAGAAATGCAAATTTCTGAGGTATCACATCACACCGATCAGATTGGCCAAGTTGATAAAACAAGAAAATGATAAATGTTGGAGAAGATGTGGGAAAACTGGAACATTAATACATTGTTGGTGGAGTTGTGAAATGATCCAACCATTTTGGAGAGCAAATTGGAACTATGCCCAAAGGGCTATAAAGATGTGCATACCCTTTGACCCAGCAATACCACTTCTAGGGCTGTATCTCAAAGAGATCATAAAAATGTGAAAAGGACCCACATGTAGACAAATATTTATGGGGGCGCTTCTTATGGTAGCAAAGAATTGGAAAATGAGGGGATACCCATCAATTGGGGAATGGCTGAGCAAGTTGTGGTATGTGAATGTAATGGAATACTATTGTGCTATAAGAAATGATGAGTAGGCAGATTTCAGAAAAACCTGGAAAACTTACATGAACTGATGCTGAGTGAAGTGAGCAGAACCAGGACAATGTCGTACACAGTAACAACCACATTGTGCGATGACTAACTTTGATAGACTTAACCCTTCTCAGTAATGCACAGATTTAAGACATCTCCAAAGGTCTCATGATGGAAAATGCTATCCACATCCAAAGAAGGAACTATGGAGTGTGAATGCAGATTGAAGCATACTATTTGCTATTTTTTTCTTCTGTTTCGTTTTGTTTCCTCTTTCTGGTGGTTCTTCCTATTGGTTCTAATTCTGCCTACAACATCACTAATGTGAAAATATGTTTGATAAGAATGTATATGTATTGCCTATATCAGATTGTGTGCCATCTTGGGGAGGAAGGTGGAGAAAAATTTAAAACTCAAAAGCTTATGGAAGTGATTGTTGATAAATCAAAATAAATTAATAAAAAAAAAAAGAAAAAAAGAAACATTTGTTGAGCCCCATCAAGGCATTGTAGGGTTAACAAAGACACTGACAACGTAGTCTCTTGCCACCAGAATCATGCCATCCATTTAAGGAGATAAGGGATAAATGGGGGTAGAAGCTGAACTAAGACTTCATTGATGTACCAATATAAGTTGGCACCCTCTCTGCAATCTACAATCCTACTGATTCTCCTAGAGCAGAGGTGTCAAACACATCTAAGTGCTGCCAGAACCAGAAACATAATTGGGAAATGTTTACATTTTAAAATGTAATTTTTCCATGTAAAATGTAAATTTTATATATAAAATGTAATTGGTAAATATTCAGCCAAATAAATAAAAATACGGTAAAATACAGATTATAGTACGTTTTAGACCTAAGACAATATGTGCCCTGCAGGGATCCTTGTGCATGGAGTTAGTGGTCCCCGTTTCTATTTGAGTTTGACACTACTGTCCTAGAGGATGGACAGGAGAAATGATTTGAAGGGTTATAGAGCTGAGATAGATAGATAGATAGATATCTATATAGATATATATAGATATCTATCTATCTATCTATCTATCTATTTATCTATATATATGTATATATGTATATATATCAGAAGCAAGTGAGCTCTGTTCTTTCTGGCTTCTCTCCATTAAACCATGTTGCCTTTCAGGATATTTGTATGTGAAAATATTACAACACAATGGTTAATGTGATATTATTAGAAGCAACTAGTTGATAACAGTGGATAAACTAGAATAAGAAAGACCTGAGTTCAAATGTTACCTCAGACACTTACTAGATGTGTGACATTGGACAAGTCACTTAACTTCTGTCTTCCCCGGTCTATGCATCTATAAAATGGAGATAATAATAGCACCTAGCTTTTAGAGTTATTGTGGGGATGAAATGAGATAATAATTATAATGCTCTTTACAAATCTTAAAGCACTATATAAATGTCAGTTGTTCTACTACAGTGTCTAATGTCTTAAATGAAGAATGCTCAGGACTTCAGGAGATGGAAAAGAGAATTTGTAATTGGACTGGTTGAGAAAGACTTCAAGAAGGATGCAGAACTTGAGCTTGGTCTTTAAAGAGAAGTAGGACTCTGGTAAAATGGGTAAGTTAGACTGGTTCAGGAATTCTTAACCTTTTTACGTCATTGACCTCTGCAACCTTATTGCTAATAGTGTTTTTAAATGCATTTGAATAAAATACATAGAACTACAAAGAAAACCAATTATATTGAAATGCAGTTATCAAGATATTTAAAATAAAACAATTTTACCAACATCAGGTTAAGAACCCTTGAACTACATAATGTTAATGATTTCTTCTAACACTAACATTTTCGAAACCTGTGGTCAGAGTGGGTAAGGAGAGAAGAGAGCATTCCAGACAATGAAATATTTTGCTATTGTACCAGTTCTACAAGTGTTGTTGGGAATGCCCAAGTGCCTCAAAATTCCCGCGGCTGTGACAAAGCAAGGGAGCTAACCTCTTAAATCCATAATCTGAGTGTACCATGAGACATGGAGGGACATATAAGTCAGTTTTCATCAGTGCTCTCTGAACCCTAACGCCACTAGCCATAGCACTAATACTAAAAACTAAGACCGTCTTAGAGTGAAACTGTAAACCCTTGAAAGAACAGACGACTTCTAAAGCTACAGATCTCTAAAACATTATGATTCTGCCATTCTAATGACTTATAATCACAAAATTTGAGTGTTGGAAGGGATGTCAGCAGCTATCTAGTCTAGTACATACCCGAAAGGAATTCTCACTCTAATACACAACCTGGCAGTAGCAGGGGCCAAAATTAAAATAGACTAGAGATAGACTGATCATAGTTGGTTGCCACAGGTCACATGACAAACGGGAGCGTGCGCGGTGGCCACCCTACATTTGTCAAGGGCCGTCAGAAATCCCCAGCAGCGAGCAGCCTCCGGGCCGTATGTTGTGCAGGACTGCTCTAACATAATTGAGATTTGTTAATACTTAAAGATCTCTTGGCCATTTTGGAACAGGAAAATTCATGGCATGATAAGAATTCTGTGGACGCCAAAAGAATTGTAACATAAAAGGCACATTAAAAAAAACAAAACAAGATGCTTTTTTCACAATGGAATTTCATGATTATACATTTACATATTATTTGAAATTATGTGTTAAATATAGTGCTTACATTAAGCTTAAGCAGAACTATATTGAATCTCTGAAAGATCTTAACAAATTATATAAACACTGCTTTATTTGCAGTGTACAGTCAAATATTTCCTATTAATGAAAGATTCCTTTAGCAAATTCCCATAGTAAAGCAGTTTATGGTATTTTCTAAATGAACTGAGCAACATCAGCCTTCAATGCAATACTGTTTCCTTGAACTCTTAGGAGATTTTTCATATCCCACAAGGGATTTCATTTAAGAACTGGCCTTTTAACAATTATGTCTTTCTTAATATTTTAACAAGTTTACAGACCTCTTGGGGTGCCGTATTACCCTGAAGCTGCTTCAAGTCCACAAAAATAAATGTGTCAAGTCTTAGCGCTGTTTAGAAAGCTTGGTTAATCCTCTGATGGACAAATCAAGATCAGGTGATGCTACAAATCATCATTTTCCAAGTTTATGTTAAGGTACCTGTATAAACTAACAATTTCTCTTGTCTTTTTTTTTTCCTTTCCAAAGGCTTAAAAAAAAAAAAGCAACACCCCTCAGTCCTCAGTAGCACATTAAAAGCTGACATGAATAGGGATTCATAACCACTGAGACACTAGTTTTGACATGAAAATACTCCATCAGAATGTGAACTCCAATCCACCACGTGAAGGGATACTGTTTCCCGGTGATGCATTTTGGCCAGACTTCACAAGGAACACGTTTTCATCATTTCAGTCACTCAAAAATGAACAAAAAAAAAAAAGAAAAAGAAAAAGAAAAGAAAGAAAAAAGCTAACGCAATAGAAGCAGCCAAGCTCCCAGGCTTGACAAATGGATAAAATGTACCTTCTCTGGATATTTAAAAAAAATAAACTTTTTTCAATGTTTTTGACATCCTCTTATGTGTGCGTGCATGCACCACCACCACGGACTCCAGCTCCAACTTGTCGTTTCTAGAGTTCCTTTAATCTCTCCCTCCCTCTCTCTGGCACTGGTATGTTTTCCACGACTGCTGTTTGAGCTTTTCTAAATGAAGGTGCTGACATCTGCACTCATTTCAGAGCCTTCTTCTTGATGTCTCAATATTTTAGGAAAGCGAGGCTGCCAAACCCCCTGACCACAGAAATGACAAGATGGACTTAGGTTTTAAAACTGAGGGAAAATGATTTGAAGTCATGATGAAAGGAAGCAGGTCCAACAGCAACTCCCTCTGAAAAATAGTGTTTTACTAAGCCCAAATTCAGAAATTGTTAATCTGGAGGGCTCAAAGGGCACAAAAATATATAATGCTTATTGTAAGGGTATAGTCTTTACTCCACTAGCTCCCTTGAACTCTGAGACAGGTGAGACCTCTGAATGATACTCTGAAACACAAGTCTAGGCAAACAGGTGAGTAATAATTTTTCATTTGTGGCTGCCACCCCATAAACCTGACCAACTTGGACAATCCTTCATCTCCCTTCTGCTACCCACAGAGGGGCACAGATCATCTGGGATCTACAATCTCCTAGTTACACAGAAAACGAGAATCATTTCTTTTGGAACAGAGCCCAAGGCATTGGCCCAGATGGAAACATGCACTCATACAGCAGGGCAGGATTGGAGCAAACACCAGGCACTACGGGAGCAGAATTCCACAGAGTGCCAAGTCCTGCATAAGCACCTTTCCTCTACAGATGTAGGCTGCAATAACCTCACAACATGGTGGGGAAGGGGCTAATTAGAACCATCAGCACTGGAAAAATCCCCTGTACTCTTTTATATAGTGCTGGCCTTATGGCTTCCAGATGAAGGTGGCGGCCAATCTGCTGTGTGGATTCAGCTGACCCAAGTGGGAGGTTGTTTCTAACCTGCCATGTCCATATCCCTAACCTTCTCCTCAGTTGAGTGACAGGCACTCATCAATTGGGAAGGCAATGAGCCATACATATCCCAGCTCTGCCTTTTCTAGTGAATTTCACTGTGATGCAAGGCAGAATATTGGCATGAAAAGAATACAAATCCCAGGAACTTTGCTTGAGTCTCAGCTATGAGACTCGGCAAGTTAAGTGATCATAGTGACACCTAATTTAGGAGGCCCAACAATATTTTGGAACTTGACATAATTAGCACACTGTCATCTGAAAACATGGACATCTGGAAGAGCTCCTCATCAGAAAGAATGCCCCTTCAACTTATGCTTTGTATTGGAACTTTTCTGTTATCATGACAGTATATTTTTTGGCAAGCATACACCTTCATATTTATGCCTTCTCCTAATGGCAAAAGGCTTGTTGAATATGGTTGTCTCTGTTATGTATTTCAAGATATCTGTATAATTTTGACAAATATATGGGACATTATTTCTGCTATTTCTACTTTACCAAATAAATGCTTTTGTAGGTTAACAGACAATAAACATAAGAACTTTCACGTTATCTGGCAAATAGTTGGTTAATTAATTGATTATATTCTTTACATCTTCCAGTCAATTTTTATAGTTATAAAGACTGATTCTTGTAACAGTCTGACTGTTGATTTCTTTCTTTTTTTTTTCTGTACTATTGCTATTTCTCCTTCTACTGCCAACCCCTCCCAAACACTGGGGGGTGGGAGAAAAAAAAAACAACAAAGTCCTTTTTAGCAAATATACATAGTTGAGCAAAATAAATTCCCACATTAGCTTTGTCCTAAAATGCATTTTGACTCCCTTCTGTGTCAGGAGTGGGTAGCAAGCTTTATCATCAGTCCTTTGGAATCACTGATTAATCAAGGTTCTCGAAGTTAGCTGTCTTTATAATATTGTTGTTATTACACACATTGTTTTCATGGGTTCTGCTCATTTCATTCATATAGGTCATCCCAGATTTCTCTGAAACTTCCATTTTATCATTTTATATGATGCAATAATATTCCATCAATTCATATACCATTTGTTCCATTCCTCAAAACAGATGGACATTCCCTTGTTTTCTATTTCTTTGCTACAACAAAAAGAGCTATGATAAATTCTACAATATACTATATAAGGCATTTTTTTTAAATTTTTTTATGGGGATGTATCTAATAGTAGTAATGATAGCTGGGTCAAAGGGACAAAAATATATTTTTTAAAATACCATTACCATATGTTTGGTCCCTACTTTTGCTTCAAATACTTTGAAAAATAATCCCTCAAAGACCTCAAAATTGTGTGACCTCTAGCACAGACCTCTTCTATGCATCATGATCTAATCATCTGCTTTTTCCTTCTTCGCCTTCTTCAATTCCATTTCCACTTCATCTAGAATAGTATTTCTCAATAGCACAGACCTCTTCTATGCATAATGATCTAATCATCTGCTTTTTCTTTCTTTGCCTTCTTCAATTCCATTTCCACTTCATCTAGAATAGTATTTCTCAAAGTGTGGCAAAAGAATCTCAAAGAGTCCCCAAGACACTTTCAGGAGATCTAGAAGGTCAGATCTATTGCCATAATGACATTAAGATGTTTTAATTTTGAATACAATAAATATTTATATAATCCACATAAACAAAAGCTTTTTGGAAGGTCTTCATTAATTTTTATGAGCTTAAAGGGTTATTGAGAAGAAAAAGTTTGAGATTCACTCTTCTGGAACAGCATCTGGGATACAGGTAATAGAGTCCAAATATTGTGACCTCACTATCCTTAATAGTAAAAACGTTCATTTTAAAATTCTTTGCAGATCTTTGCTCTATTGCATTTATTGCCCTTATTCCTGTTTTATCCTTAAATCTTTCCTGAATGGCATTGCTTAGTTTCATCTCTTAACAAGTTTCCTTTAGATTGTTTTTTTTCCTCCCCTTCCTCTCCCTGTTTTATGAGGTGACACTGCTCATAAATTTCCACCACCTTTCTGCATAAGGATTTTACAAATGAATTTATATTCTAAACTGATGTTGCAGTGGGCTACCATATGCCTTCACTTGTTAAGTAAGTCAAGTATTTGCTGCCAACAGTGGATTTTTAAGGCTTTTTGTTGATTGTTATGACAGTTAATCTACATTGTTTAAACTGTATGGGGTAGGAGGAATGGAGCCAAGATGGAGAAGGAAAGGGACTCACCCAAGCTCTTCTAAATTCCCCTCTAAATAACTTTAAAATAATGCCTCAGAACAAATTCTGGAGTAGCAGAACCAACAAAACAACAGGTAAACCAATGTTCCAGCCCAAGACAACTTGTAAGTTTGTCAGGTAAAGTCTGTCTCACTGAGGTGAGAGTGGAACTCAGTGCAGCATAGGCCAGGCCCAGCAATCCAGCAGCAGGCCTTGGAAGAAACTGAATCAGAAGCTGTGGCTACCAGGCCTCACAGGCCACTATAAGGAGGTCAAAAACACTAGTCAGGAGGAGATTACAGGGGATGCTTTGCTGGCACTGAGTTCAGGACTCTGTTGCATTCCCCCAGCTTGGTTCTAGGTCAGAATTGCAAGGCAAGGAGAGCATTAGCACAATACAGCATGCCACAGGGGAGCAGGAATCCTGGTCATAGTTCCAGGGTGGAAAAGAATGCAGTCTTTTTCCCAGCACATGCCAGGAAAGCAGTGACCATGCCTCTCCTTAGATAATATCACTTTAGAAGAACTGAAAACTTACAGAACTAGCTATGAAAATAGCTATTCAAAAAACCTAAAGCTTGGGACAGTGCCCCCTCCACCCGGGAACAGAATGCAATTATAACATAAAGTTAAAAGTCAAGAAATAGGATAGAAAACGAGCAAACAAAGAAAGGACCTGACAATAGAAAGTTACTATAGTGACAGGGAAGATCAAAACACAAACTCAGAAGACAATGAAGTCAAAGCAGCTATACCTAAAGCCTCAAAGAAAAATGAATTGCTAGAAGAGTGCAAAAAAAGGATTTTAAAAATAAAATAAGAAGGTAGAGGAAATTTTGGAACAGAAATGACAGTGATGCAAGAAAATCATGGGAAAAAAAGAGCCAGCAACTTGATAAAGGAGGCATAAAAAAAAAATCAAAGAAAATACCTTAAAAAATAGAATAGGTCCAATGATAAAAGAGGTACAAAAATCCACTAAAGAGAAAGACTACTTAAAAAGCAGAATTGGCCAAGTTGAAAAGGAAGTATAAAAGCTCACTGACAAAATTAATTCCTTAAAAAGTTAGAATGGGACAAGTAGAAGCTAACAATTCCATGAGATATCATAGAGACATCAAGAAACAATCAAATAAAATCAAAAGAATGAAAAAAATAGAAGAAAATGTGTGATATCTTATTGGAATAACAACTGACCTGGAAAAAAGAAAAGAATGAATTTAACAATTATTGGACTATCTGAAAGCCATGACCAAAAAAAGAGCCTACACATCATCTTTCAAGAAATTATCAAGGAAAACTGCTCTGATATTTTAGAACCAGAGGGCAACATAGATATTGAAAGAATCCACCGATCTCCTCCTGAAAAAGATCCCAAAATGAAAACTCTCAAGAATATTGTAGCCAAAATCCAGAGCTCCCAGAGCAAGTAGCTATAAAGAAACAATTCAAGTTTTGTAAAGCCACAGTCAGGACAACACAAGATTAACAACTTCTACTCTAAAGAATCAGAGAGCTTGAAATATATTCTGGAAGGCAAAGAAACTAGTATTACAACCAAGAATAACACACTCAGCAAAACTAAGTATAATCTTTTAAAGGAAAAAATGAATATTTAATGAGATAGAGGACTTTCAAGCATTCCTGATGAAAAGGCCAGAGCTGAGTAGAAAATTTGTCTTTCAAATAGAAGATTCCAGGGAAACTTAAAAAGGTAAATAGGTAAGATAAATCATAAGAGATTTAATAATGTTAAGCTGTTTGCATCACTATATGGGAAGATGATACTTGTAACTCCCAAGAACTTTATCATTATTAGGGCAGTTAGAAGTAGTATACACAGACAGAAGGCACAGGTATGAGTTAACTATGATGGGGTTGATATCTTAAAAAATAAAAGTAAGGGATGAGAAAAAAGGATGCACTAGGAGAAGGGGGAAAGAAGTAGAATAAGGTAAATTATCTCACATAAAAGAGATGTGAAAAAGCTTTTACAATGCTGAGGAAGATTGGGGGGGGAGGCAGACAATACTTGAACCTTACTCTCTTCAAAATTGACTGCAAGAGGGAGTAACATACACACTCAGGTGGGTATAGATTTCTATCTTATCCTACAGGGCAATAGGAGGGTAAGGGGATGGGGGAGCAGATAAAAGGGAGGGTGGATTGGGGGAGGTGATGGTCAGAAGTAAAACACTGTTGAGGAGGGACAGGGTGAAATTAGAGAGAGAGAGAGAGAAGAGAGAGAGAGAGAGAGAGAGAGAGAAGTATTAACAGGAGAAAAAATAGGATGGAAGTAAATACATAATCATAATTGTTAAAAAAATGTTACACCAAGTTTCTCTGATGAAGGGCTTATTTCTCAAATATATAGAGAAAGGAGTCAAATTTATAATTACAAATCATCCCCCAATTTATAAATGGTCAAAAGATATGAACAGGCAGTTTTCAGATGAAACAATCAAAGTAGTCATATGAAACAGTGCCCTAAATCATTATTGATTAAGGAAATGCAACTTAAAACAACTTGGAGGTACCACCCCACCCCTATCAGATTGACTAATATGACAGAAATGTATAATGATAAGTGTTGATAGGGTGTGGGAAAATTGGGACACTAATGCATTGTTGGTAGAGTTGTGAACTAATCCAACCATTCTGGAGAGCAATTTGGAACTATACCCAACAGGCAATCAAACTATGCATACCCTTTGATCCAATAACACCACTACTAGATCTGTATCCTAAAGAGATAAAAAAAAAATTAAGGAAAAGGATCTATATGAACAAAAATATTTATAACAGCTCTTTTTGTGGTGGCAAAGAATTAAAAATTGAAGGGATGCCCATCAATTGGGGAATGGCTGAACAAATTGTGGTATATGATTGTGATGGAATATAATTGTGCTATTAAAAAATGAGTAGGAGGCTTTCAAAAAAACCCGGGAAAACTTACATGAACTGACGCAAAGTGAAGTGAGCAGAACCAGGAGAACATTCTACACAGTAACAGCAATATTGTACAATGATCAATTAGGAATGATTCAGTTATTCTCAGCAATACAATGATCCAATTCCTAAGGACTTCTGATGAAAAATGCTAACCACTTCCAGAGAAAGAACTGATGAAGTCTGAGTACAGATCAAAGCATACTTTTTTCCTTCATTTTTCCTGAATTTTTTTTGTTCTGTTTTCTTTTGCAATAAGGCTAATAGGGAAATGTGTTTTGCATGACTGCATTTTTATAATCTATATCTAATTGTTTGCCATCTAAGGAAGGGAGAGAGGAGGGAGAGAGAAGGAGGGAGAAAATTTGGAACACAAATT